CCCCCCCACCAGTGGGGCGGGGCGTCTGCTGGCCTTCCTCCAGCCTTTACCTGCCTGTCTCCAGGATGGAGAATCGAGACCCTGGCTGGGCTGGCCACAGTCTCACCCACCGCCTCCCCTTCACGCTGGACAGGAAGATGGATGGAAGCAAGGCCATGTACCCCTGCCATAGTGTCATGAGGCGATGGTCCTGTTGTAGGAGACCCAGCAGACAGAGGGAGGTGTGTGGGCATGACAGAGGGACACAGCAATAGGCTAACAGTGCTGAACTCAGAGCTCCCTGCAGCTCAGAATCTCCACCCTGCATAGTGCCTTCTGCTCTGGTTGGCATGACTGCCCCATCTGCCTACCTTGGTGGCTCTTCTTTGGCCTCCTCTTCCCTGCAATCCTCCTGGGATGGAAAGGGCATCTCCCACAAATGTCCCCATCTCCTTCTCACCTTCTTGGGGTTCATCAGGGTGCTGCTGAGGCCTTTCAGGCTCATGGCCCGCACCAGCCAGTTGGGGCTGTTCAGGCCCAGGCTAAGAAGGCTGTTCATGGCCCTCTGGTCCACATGCTTAGAGACCTCTGGGCTGTTGAGAAACTGGAGGGTCAGCACAGTCAGGGAAAGTCAGCCTGTGACATGTATCAGGCAGAGGTTATGATGCCTTCATATCAATGACAGAAGGAAAGTCCAGCTCTGACCTTCTTCCTAAAGGGCAAGGGGACAGTATAAGGAGCAGAGTGTGGGTGGCCAGGGAGAGGCTGACCTCTGCAATGATGAGGATGGCCATGATGTTGTCTCGTGTCTCAGTGCTCTTCAGGGAGATGATGGCCTGCCCCAAGACAGCCTTGACCTCACAATCATAAAGGGCCATGGCCCTGTCAAATGGAAGAAACAGAAACAGGTTCTCTGAGGCCCCTTTTCTCTGACCAGGCCAAGGGTGAAGATGGGGTTTGGGGGGCTGGCACGACACAGCCACAGATCTCAGGCACTGGTTAGGCAGCTGAGTTGAATGCATTATCTAGTAGGAGAAGTTGCAGGCAGGAGCTCCATTAGGGTGTGATCCGGCTCCTCTCAGCCAGGGCACCTAAATTTGGGGATTTACCTGGCCAGGAGGGTCACTCCCTCTGTGTAGGTCTCCAGGTGCTCAAAGAGCTCCCAGCCCCTGAGCAGCTTGACATGGGCGAACACTTCCCAGTACTGGGTGGTCCAGAAGAGGCCCTTCAGTGCTTCTAGGCAGGTCCTGAAGTGATGCAAAGTATTGGGAGGAGATGGAGGCCCTGGGGCCTGGGCCAATTGCTGTCCTCTGGGTTCTCCTTGCTCAAGACTTCACTGCCCCCTGCCCTATCCTGCAGAATAGTCCATTCCTTCCTCAGCATCTAGAACCTATTGGGAGGATCCCTGAACCAATAGGAGGGTCCAGAAGTGCTGGTAGGGAACTGGGCCCAAGACTGCCTCACATCTCACCTGCAGGGCCCAAGGGGCTTGGAGTCCAGGATGTCTTCCTGGTAGTCCAAGAAGCCTTCAACCATGTCCATCTCTAATAGGTAGTGTAGCTGTGTGAGCAGGCCCAGAAGGATCCCTGCAAAGGCCCAGCGGACTGTAGTCCTGTACTCTTGGGTGTAGAGGAGCTCATAAATGGTGTCCAAGGCCTGCAGTGGAGGTAGGGTAGGCCCAGATGTGCCAGTGAGTGGAGAAGTGGGCAGCAATGGCCACAGGTCCATTTGTCTCCAGGTCCCACTGCCTTTTACCTGGTCTCACCCTGGTCTTCAGTATCAGGAACCATTGGCTACTTGTAGCTGGACCTGGGCTGGCTAACCTCCTCCTGCTGCAGCCAGAGACAGGACAGGCTGAGCTGTGCAATCCCCTACCTTTGCCTGGACTCCAAGCTCTGCCCAGATGCTACCACTGGCATCCCTTCCCTTGCTTGGCTCCACCCTCTGGAGACCTGCCTGGCTCTCTCTAGCATCCTTCCTGTGGAGAGATCCCTTCCAGACCCCTTCTTGGTGAAGGCCTCTCCGGGTCTCATTGGTTTCCTAACCTGTAGGGAGCCCATATGCCACAGTGATCTTCACTTCCCAAGTCTGCTCTGCAGCCCTCCCAAGTCTCACCTGCCCTCCCTGAAGTCTCCTTGATTCTTTTGCCACCCCTCCATCTGCTCTCATGGTTCTTGTCCCCACAGTATGTGGTCTTTTGTGACCATGAGCCCCTGAGGGCAGCCAGGGCTCTCTGCTGCTGTTTCTTAATGGGACCTGGGGTCCACCTGCTATGAGCAGATGGGATGTTTGGTCTTTCTGCACTGGCTCCCTCATGGCGAAATTAGCTCTAATGGCAACAGTGAGGTCCTGTGGCCAGGCCATTGGCCAGTTAGCCAATGTCCCAGACACTCAGTGGTTCACATGTGGAGGTACAACATGGTGTCCATCTTCACGAATGATAACAGTCTTCCCTCAACAGCACAGTCACAATCTGACAAGGGTCTGACTGAGGGCCAGATCTAGGGTAGTAGCAGTGTTACCCAGGGACCCCACTGGAGCCCTGAATGCAGAACCTGGGGCCCAGCTCACCAGAAGGGAGATGAGCTGGACCTGGTGAGTAGGCTGGATGACCTCCCCAGTGGGGCGCAGTTTGAGCTTCATGTAGAGCAGGGTCATGACCTTTCGAGCCAGCTGGCAGTTGGCAGCCAGGGCCATCCACAGGGTTAAGGTCTGCCTGGGGAGACAGGAGCCTGTGCTACCCCTGGCCATGTAGGTGCCCAGGTTGCCTCACAGCCCCAGAGGAACTCCTGAGCGAAGGGGAGGCCTTCCATATACCAGTAAGTGGTGGCTCCCCAACTGACAGTCAGCAGGGTGACCTGCTGGATGTGGTGATGTGGGCACAGCCAAGACCCTCAGGAGTGGTGACTGGGGAGGGGTCCTGGGTCTCTGTTCTGATGATTGATGGAGGGGCTGCTCCAGGCTCTGAGAAGAGGTAGCTTTGCCTGGCATTTGCATGTACTCCCACCCTGCCACACCCTTTCCCTGTGAGCAAGACATGGCCCTCCTCAGCCTGTCTGTTCTTCAGGAAAGGGAGGGACAAGCTCCTCGGATGGCCTGAAGAGAAGAGAGTTCCCAAAGGCAGGGACCATTGCAGACACAGCTTTGAATGTCTGCACCAGGCTCCCTGTCAAGGGCTCCCTGTACACCCTGAGATGGTGCACCAAGTCCCAGTGTCCATCTGACTACAAAGTGTAAACCGTCTGTGCGATGGTGACATACAGCTCCTGGCCCTGCACTCCTAACACACTCCTGGGCTACACTGCTCTCAGTCCTGCCCATGGTTTGTAGATTCAGGACTTGTCATCCAGAGTGCACTCAGAAAACCCAGCTGTACTCAGCATGGTGGCTGGAGCAGAGTAAGGCACCCAGGACTCTGGCTCTGGGCCCCTCTGGTCACAGGGCAGCTTGTAAGAGTCATTGTCTTTTGGCACCCAGCTGATGTCTGACTGCAGCAGATTGGTCGTTGGGGTCTCTCTGAGTCTGAGAGACATTTCCATGCTGAATCCCCCACTCAATGCCCTTGGCCCAGGGTACCCTTGGGGACTGTGGGCCCTGGGCCTGAATTCCAGGAAAGGGGTGTGCCTGGCAGAAGCCCTTAGGAACTTGCCTCCCGGTGCCTGTGACAGAGCCCAGGCATCACTGGTAGGCCACACAACACCTCCCCCCTACACACACACACTGGGTGGCAGGCTGAGGAGGAAACCTACCTCTCTGAGGGGTGGCACAAGGACAGGAGCACTTCAGTCACCTCCAGTGTGTGCTGGGTCCCCAGAGCCATCATGGCCTTCATCATGGCCTCCTGGGCTTTCTTAAAGTGGATGCTTGGCAGCTCCTGGAAGAGGCCATGCAGGACTTCGGCCACCTGAGCAGGAGGGGCAGGTGGAGCAAACCTCAGATGAGACCAGAGAGTAGACTGCAGGGGAACCCTGGAATCCTGGATGGGGCCCAGCTCTGAGGAGCTGGCTCAGGGTTTGTGTCACTCTGCCAATTAGCACACCCTTGCTCTGCCTGTTTGTCCCTGGAAAAGTGGGATGCCACCTCCACCAGGGCCAGTGTGGAGCACCTGAGTTGGTAGGGCTGGGAAGCTGTGTATGATATTAGTGGGGGTGCATCTTGAATGACACTGGCCAAGCCAGACTACCTCATTCATTGCCTCTGGCATGCTGCCTGTAATGTGTCACTGCAATTGCATCTCTGTTGAGACAGGAGTAGGGGACAGAACCTATTGCTCACCCAGCCTGCCCCCAGAAGGGCAAAGGAAGATGAAGAAAGGGTCGCTGGGAGGAGGCTGATGAAAGAGGTGCCAGTGGTCTCTGGGGGGAGGTGTGGTGTGTGGGTGCACACACATGGACAGTACATATAGCCCTTGATGTATGTCCATCCACTCCCCTTCCCGTACGTGTAGGGGACACAGGCAAGACTGAGGACAGGCAATTTGCCCACCCAGGGGAGCCTGAGTACCAGCTTACCTGCTCCAGCTTGATGCCTGGGCCCTGGAAGATCCACAGGAGGAGCTTGGAGGCTAGCCTAGACTGCAGGAGGCTGCAGCATCTGAGGCTGTGCAGCAGCGTGAGCACCAGCTGTGTGTGCTGTGCCACACTCAGGACCTTGTCAAAGGCCTGGACCCAGGGCAAGAGAGTAAGGGGCCCTGGTCAGCACTGGCCCAGGGGTCCAGGCTGGGCTATCCTCAGAGATGGAACAAGGACCGTGTGCACCTCCACATAGATGCCTTGTGCACAGATGTGTGGGGACCCCAGAAGGGACTGGCCTGCCTGAGCTGCTCAAACACAGACCCATGGGCTGGCACTGGGTGGTTCCCAGCTGCCCCTTCTCTGCAGAATTTTCCTGGGGCAATGGGAGTAGGCAACTTTGCCTGGGACAGTAGGGTCCCCATCCTGCAGCCAGTGGCCAGTGCCCTGCCTGTGTATATCTCTCACAGCTCCTTGTGGGTCCTACCCTTGCCCTACCTCACTTCCCTCACCCCACTTCCCCTGAGAACAAGTCCTTGGTGAACACAAATGCCTGCCCACTGTCTTTTGAGAGGGAGAACCTGAGGCATAGGCTCAGCTGGGTGTGTGGCCCAGCGGACTCCAGCTGCACAAAGGTGGCTCTGTCCTACTTCACCCACTCCAGGAGCCTAAAGGACCCTCATCTGGAAGGTGAGGAAACCAAGGCCCAGAAAGATGGGATGTTCCACCTGAGGTCTCCTAGTACAGTGCAGTGCAGTGCGGGCTGGGCCTGGGAGGTAACTGTAGGGAGGGAACAGGGAGCAGGGCAGTTCCAGGTTGCCAGGGCAAAGGGGCATTGCCAAGACAGGACATGCCCTACAAAGTAAGATGAACTGTCTTCCTCCCATGGAGCCCCCAGGGGAGGCCCAGGAGAATCTTAGGCCTGCAGTTCTAAATGGGCTCCTGTCTGGATGGAATCTGCAAGGTGAGGCAGAGACAGGGTCCTCTCCCCAGGAAGGGCAGAGTCTGTTAGGCTGTTCCATCTTGACTGTGCCTACTTTCTCCCAGGCATAGGCCATACAGGACCCCCTCAGCCCCTTCTGTGTAACTGCTGAGGGGACCAGAGAAATCCAATACTCTTGGGGAGGACTGGGGGTCCAGTGGGAGCATCCACACTCTAGTCAGCCCAGCTCTGGAAGGCCTCACCTTTACCAAGTGTTGGAGCTCCGCCTCCCCTTTTCCAGAGGTCCTGACCTTGAAGCACTTCGCCTTGCTCTGGTACAGACCTGTCATTCTCCCTGTGCAAAATCAAAGCTATAGGTCTGCCCCACCTGGGGAGGGAGCTCCCTGCCTCTGCCCTGTCTTTGGAGCTCACCCTTCTGCTGCACGGAAAGCTGCAGGAGTAGATAGACACACTGGTGGGCAGGGCTCTGGGTCTCTGCATCCCTGTCCCACCACAGCAATGTCAGCAGGCCTAGCTGGCGGCCCAGTGCAGAAGGCATGGCCTCTTCCTAGGGATGGGGGAAGTAAGTGGAGCCAGGTGTGGCTTCCTGGGGTCCCTTCTTCTGCCCAGCATCTTATAGGAAGTGCCCTGGTTGGGTCAGAAAGGGGCTCTTGTTCCAACCCAGGTCAGTCTTGCACCTCTCTGACCTCAGCATCCTCCTCTGTGGAAGGGACCCTTATTGTTGCCAATAATGAGAAATTAGGCTGTGTTTATCCTTACCCCCTGGAGGCTCGCATTTCTTCCTTTAGGCAACTGTAAGATTTTTCCATTTATCATAATCATTCCCATTTCCAACAATTTTTGGTTGTGCTGTGCCTTGATATCAGTTTTGTTGTGTTTATCTTTTGGGGGTTCATTGATATTCTCAGATCTCTAAGTTTGTATTTTTCATAGAATTCAAGTAATTTCAGGTGTTGTGTCTTCAACTTCTTTCTATCCCTGTGTTCTTCTCTTATCTTGTGATTCCAGTCACACTTGATGTAGTTCCACAGCTCACTGCTGCTTTGTTTGTTTTTGTTGTTTTGTTTTTTTGTTTTTGTTTTGGTACTAGGAATCGAACTTAGGCCCTCACACTTGCCAGGCAGGCACTGGGCCACTGAGCTGACTCTGCTTTGATTGTTTTTAATTTTTTCTTTTTTAATGACACTCGGGTCTTGCACAAGCTAAGCAAGTGCTCTGCTGCTGAGCTAGATCCCAGCCTGATTGTTTTCTCTAGTCTTTTTCCTTTTATTTTGATGGGTTCAGTTGTCTTGTCTTTAGGTTCACTGTTATTTTCTCCTGCAGTGTCTGACCCACTAGTAAACAGAACCCAGTGGCTTTTTTTCACTTCAGGTACTGTAGGTTTTATTTCTACAATGTCTATTCAACTTTTTTTATAGTTACCATTTATCTTTTGATATTTCATATCTATTCTTTTATTATGTTCATGTTTTTCTTTAAGTTGTTGAATATATAGTCATACACTACTTAACAACATTTTGTTTTAACATTTTACTGTATGTAAATTTTGCTTCAATAAAGTAACATAGTGTGAAAAGTGATAGTGTCTGCCTCTTGCAATATTTACAACTACAGTATGTGTGTGTGTATGCATGCACACACATGTGTGTGTCCATGCAAGTGCATCTTGGGGGACGGGTCTAGTCTGCAACCTCTCCTCTTAATATCCAGCCTCAGAGATTCAGGGAGTAGATATAGCAGGCCTTGAAATGGCCAGGATCTGCTTTTGAGCCCAGCAGTTAGGACCCAGGTGGAAGCAGCCCCATGGCTGGGCCTATCCAGCTGGGACCCATTCTAATGAGGCGTGTGGAGAGTGTCATTGGAGACAGCCTTCTTAAGTCTAACAGAAACTGTGGGAAGTTCTGCTGAATGGTCCTTACCACTTATACTCCCACCCACCCTTATTGTGTGGTGTTTCTGGCTAGTCCACACCTGCCACACTTGGTATCACTAGTCTTTAATTGTACCTTCCTAGTGGATATGTAGGAGTTTCTATCTCATTGTGATTTTGATTTGTATTTCCTTTATAACAAATTATTCCAGGCCTGTTTGACTTCATGTGCTTTACAATATGACTATTTAAGTCTTTTGCCCATTTGGGCTATCTTTGTACCAAGCTGCAGGAAGTCATTACGTTTTCCAGATACAAGTCCTTTGTTAGGTGCACTCATAGTGCACTTTTTCTGCTGGTCTGGGCCCTGTCTCTTGATGCACATGTTTCTAATTTTTATGAATTCCATTTAATCAATATTTCCCCAATAGCTGCAGCCCTCTGCATTCTGTCCAGGTAGTCTCTGCCTGTCCTGACTGTGTAAAGAGACTCTGTCTTCCTCTACAGATTCCTGGTTCTGGGTTTGTACCCAGTTCTGACCTTTCCAATGCTCTTTTGATTCTGCTGTGAGCTGGGACACTGCTATTCCTATAAGAAGCACTGCTTGTCCCAGCACTCCCTGGCCAGAGGATTTTCCTTTCCCACCTGACACCTCACAGGCCATGGAAGAGGGACCTATTTCTTCACCCTCTGTTCTTTTGTGCTTATGTCTTACCAACACTCTGACTTGGTTCATTTCCAAAATTGTTTGGCTTCTTTGGTTCCTCCCACCACTATGTTCTTTTTGTCCCCTCTAGGGCTGTTTCCTCAGGGATCACTCTTCTTCCAGGTAGCCGCAGCTCCCTCTCTTCCTTCCTCCAAGCATTTGTGCCCTGTTGGCTGCAGGCTTCCTGACTGATTTCCTTAAATCCTCCAATTTGAACTGTAGCACCCTCAGCCCCAAGCATGGGGACTCAGGGCAGAGTCCTTCTCTTCTTCTCCCAATACAGCCAGGAGCTTGCATGTGCAGACAATTCCAGTCCTTGGGGGCTCCTGGAAAGGTCCACCAGGTGGATCCACCTTGTGCCCCCCACATGTGCTCCCTGGAGCAGTGGGCAGAGACTCACTGTGGAATTTAGGGTGTCCACCACATACTTCAGAAGCAGGAGGATGGATCGCACAGCCCGCTGACGCTCATGGCTCTTATCTGACTGCAGCCAGTGTTCCAAGTGCTAAGAAGGGAGAGTAGGCCTGAAGACCAGCACCTGTGGGCTCACCTGCATCCCAGCTCCAACCCAAACCTGTGTGGGGCTAACTAATGGGAGTAAGGGTGGCCAGCCAGACCATCAGCCTCCCCACCATGCATTGGGTCAGCTCCTTCAGCAAGGGGCCACCTTCCAGGTTGGGCCTGGGGCCATCTAAGATTCGAGATCAGATGTTGTCCTACTCTCACACAGGCAGTACAACACCAACCAACAAGTTCACGGGACAACACATAGGCATCTTCCAGTTCCACTCAGTTCTGACACTGTCTACCTCAAAGTGATCAGATCCCCAGGTCAGGAGCTCAGTACTCACGGGTGCCCCCACTTTGGAGCAAATGGCAATAAATGGAGTATAACTTATCTTTCATTTAAAGAGCACCTATACACTTCTGAGAGTCTGGGGGCTTTGGCGGTTGTGGGCCAGAACCAGGCCCGGGGGCCAAGTACTGTATTCCTTCATAACACCATAGGCAACACTAGAGCTTCCAGATGCCCAGGAAACCCATGAGCCCATGTCTCTGGAGATAGCATCCTAAGGCCTCATGCTGCATCACATGGGGTAGGTAGGGTGCAAGGGAGGCCAGGTGAGGAACTTAGCAGTCTCTCTTTTCTCTGTTTCCTGAGTCACTTCAGGGATTTGAACACAGTCTCTTCCTACTCCTCCTGCTCCGCTCCTACCTCCCCGATCCCTGAACTCTCTTGTTCCTGGCTGGACCACTAGCTCCCTGGATGTTGGTCCTGCCCCAGACCCCAAGCCCTCAAGGACAGATGCTAACCATGGACCCAGACACCTGGGCTTCTGTCCCAAGGGAGCTTCTGTCCAACAGGGGAAAGGCAGAGGAGATGTCTATGTCCTAAACTGGTCATCTGTAGCTCTATCCAAGCCTTAACCCAAATCAAGCCCTGGTCAGTGGCACTGATAGTGGACAGTGTCAAGTTGCACAGCCCCAAATGAGACAAAAGCCTTTAACAGCTGGCTTCTCAAGAGTTTCAGCCTTCTCATGGCTACCCTGGTAGAGCCCACAGAACCACAAAGGACTGTGCCTGTTCTCTCTCAGTAACAGCCTGGCCAAAGGTAGCCACAGAATGCAGAGGATCAACTCTGACCCCCACTTGATCCCAGCCTGCCATCCCAAGCCTGGTCTGCACTCCAGCCACCTTCACCCCTCCTGGGCCCCAGGCTGTCACAGAGCAGCTTAGACAAGTTCCCTTCAGAGCCAAGAGGAAAGCATCCAACCTGAGCCTTGCACCCACAAGCAGACCTCATATTTCCCTTTGAGCCACGTGGCCTTCTTGGGGATACACCTGTGCCTGGGTGTCCTGGGCAGGGCCTGGGCTTACACAAAGCAGGGTTCCCTTCTCCACCTCCATTGGGAGGTCTGGGTGAGGTCCTCTCAGGCCCCTTTCCCTTATATGTAAAGTGGGGACACAGGAGCCCCTCTGGGCCACAGGAATTAACCCTTGTGAAGCACAGTGCTCAGGGCCGGTCATAGGTGCTGTCAGCCCCTCCACGAGGGCATCTACTCCTGCTGCCCCCCTTGCCAGTGAAGAACAACTTGGGCAGGAGTGTGGGAGTGTGCAGTAGGCAAAAATCTGCCAAGTTGCGCAGATCGCCTGTCATCACTGAAACCCTCTGATTCCCAAGACAATGCAGGTTCCACTGGCCCATGCAGCAGGATCCTGTGGAGAAGAGACCTCCGTGCTTGACTGTGCTGCTGAGGTTGGATCCCAGGGGGTGCGGTGAGTCTCTCTGCTTCCCTCTGTGCTTTCCTGTCTCCATCTCTCTCACAGCACAGCAGGCTGCTTGGCTGGGTCTGGAGCCCACCTCACCTGCAGGAGGAAGCAAGCCTCATCCATGCTGGGGTTCTCAGAGAAGAAGCTCTGGAGGAGCAGGTCAAGGGCACGCACTGTCTTCCTGTATAGCATCTAGCAGGGGAATCAGGTCAGTTGTTGTCACACCCTTGCCCTCCCCACCCGTGAGGCCTCAAAGTGTCTGCCTTGGCCTTGCTCCGGGGTTGAGGACAGACTGCAAATAAGTGCCATGGGGAACCACAGAATCTGCCATGGATAGGATGATACAGGTATTCCAGGGGAGGCACAGCCTAGGTGCTCAGGCAGGGCCCTCTTGCACAATTAGGGCCTCTCCAGCTCGTGGTTACTGTTCCTCTGCCCTTTGCTCTGTGACACTGTGTCCCTTGGGGCCAGCTGGGCACCCTCCTTTCTCTTGACCCTCTTCCTTCTCCCAGGGTTTTTTTTTTGGCTGATGTCCTCCAATATAAGACCCCAGTAGGTACAAAGCCGCTCTTAGATCTATCACCCTAGGTCTGTTGCTCTGGCAGCACTTGGCCCTGACAGTTCCCTTTGGCTCATGGGACAAGCAGGTGAGAGTTACACTGCGTGTGAGTAATAATCACACATGTGGAGTCACACAAGCACTTGAGGAACACCTGTGGCATCCACTCAGGCACAAATATTCTGTGACAAGGCCATGCCATGCTGCCATTCTGCTCAATCCTTCTATGATCTGCCCGTAGTCGGTGTGAGAGCTAGAGATTTCTCAGGATCCAAGAAGGATGGGTGTGCTATGGATGCAAGTGTAAGTACAACTGGAATCCTTTTCTTGCAGACAGAGTACTTTTTGAGCACAAGGGCAAGATGGCCCTGGACCTGGGTACTGCCTTGAGGATCACCCAGCACCGGTGAAGAAGAAAGACAAGGAGCAAAAATCCAATGACAAGTGTGAGCATCTAAACAAGTTTTCCATCATATGTGGGCTGCTGATTTTCCTTGTCCTAGAGGAGGAGAATTGTCAGGCATGGGGCAACCACTTTGATCCCAGGGGCACCAGGACTACCCCCAGGCTCTTCTGTGCCTTTCTCTCATGGATAAGGGCCAGCTGAAAGGCAAGGCAGTGAAGGCATGGGACAGAGAGTGAGAGAGGAGAGGGCTGCTCGAGGGAGCAACTGCCCTGAGAGGGGCCCTCGAGTTCTGGCTGTGTCACTGCATAGGGTGTGGACACTACCCTGGGCTAGGGAAAGTAGCCTCCCAGGGTATAAGAAGGGACAGTCCCCAGAGCTCACGCAGTTCTGGGCATAGTTCCTAGTCACAGCAGCCTGAGAGGAAACGCACTATCACATCACTCTAACTCAACTGTGCTACTCAAATCCATGTGTCAGAGATTTTCAACCAAATGATTTGTCAATCTCTACACACATGTACACTCAACCAGGAGAACAACAGAAGCTATCAGGTAGAATATTTTTCAGAATCAATAGAAATCTATCAATCTAAGTATAGTGTTAGATAAAAGTATAAATAATGGTATAAAACCTATAGGTACAGAGAAATAGATCTAGGTGTATATTTAGGACCTGTAGATATAAATATAGTCATAGGTATAAGCATAGATATGAATTTATAGGACAGGGAGAGAGGGGGAATGAATTAAAGATGTATACTATACATCTTAATACATTCACCAAAAAAAAAAAAAAAAAACTCAATGGCTACAGCTAAGTAAAAAAACAGGTAAAAAGTCTCCATAAAAATGTTAAGTTACTTGAAAGAAGGCAGAAAGGGATGAAGAGAGGAGCACAGACTAGACAGACAAATATAAAATAAACAGCAAGATGGTAAGGCCACTCCAACTTCCTTATATACAAGTGGGCTAGAGCCCCACCTCCAGCATAAGGCAGGAACTAGCACACTGTGTGAAAAGCAAAACCTAATCTAATCATATGTCTCCTTTTAAAAAACAAATCCATGCTGGATACAATGATACAAACAGGTTACAGGTGAAAGCCTGGAGAAAGGGCTCCCACATCACAGATGGAATGGGTTTCAGAGCCAAGAAGTGTGCCAGCAATAGAGATGTCACTTCAGAGCAACATCAGGGTCAAGTCCTCAAGAAGACAGAGGGATCGTAAATGTTTATGGGCCTAGTAACAGAGCTTTGACATAAATCAAGCAACAACTGATAGAGCAGCAAGGGGAAGTAGACAAATCCATAATGTCTTTCAGGGATTTCAACTGTGGATCACAAGAGTACACAGAATATCTGCGATGGCAGAGAAGGTGTGGACAGCACTGTCAACTAGCTTTACGTAAGCTGTCCCGCCGAAGAACAGCAGAAAGCATATTCTTCTAAGTGCATACTGGTAATTCACCAACATAGTTCACATTGTGGGTCAGTAAATTTAAAGGGATTCATGTTATACAACATATTTTCTCTGACAAGAGTGGAGTTAAATTTGACACTAGTTAGCATACATCTATGTAATCAATAAATCAAAGAAAACCCAGACATTATAAAGCATTAAACATGAACTAATGAAACACAACATATCAAAATTGATCATCTCCATAGATTGAGAAAAAATAATTTGACAAAAACCAATTTTCATCCCTGATAAACATTCTTAGAAAATTAGGGATAGAATTTCTAATAAAGAGCATCTACAAGGGTTAGGGATACAGTTCAATGGCAGAGTACTTCCTTTGCATATGTGAAGCCCTGGGTTCTATCTTCAGCATGACACATGATAATAATAATGACAATGATGATTATAATGATAAAACAAAGGCCCACACCTAGCACCGTACTGAATGATGAGACTGGATGCTTCCCCCCTCAGACTGGGAGCAAGTTGGGAATACCCATTCTCACCACCACTATTCAAAGCAGTACCAGAAGTTCTAGTAAGTGCAATAAATTAAGAGTGAGATATAAAAAGCAGCCAGATTTGAAAGGGAGAAATAAACTGCCCTGATACAAAGAAGACATGTATAAAGCTAGATACAGTGGACTATGCCTGTAATCCTAGCTACTGGGGAAGCTGAGACAGGAAGATCAAGAGTTCAGTGCCATCTTGGGAACTTAGCAAGTCCCTGTCACAAAATAAAAATATAAAAAGAGTTAGTAGCTCAGTTCCCCCTCGATTCAATCCCCAGTTACCTCAGGGAGAAAAGAAAAATCAAGTACAAAATCCTATGAACAATCTCATGGGTATATGGGATATAAACCCATTGATTTTTCACAAAAGTGTGAAGATAATGGAATAGAGAAATGATGGTCTTTTTAGCAAGTGATTCTGGAACAGGTGGATATTCATATGCAAAGAATTAAATGTCAATCTGTACAATATACCTTACAGGAATTAATTCAAAATAGATCATGGACTCTTATGGACTGAATATTTGTGTCTTTCCAAATATATATGCTGAAACCCTAACCCCAGGTGATGGTGTTGGAAGGTGAGGCCTCTGGGAGGTGACTAGTCATGAGATGAAGCCCTGGTGATGGGATAAATGCCCATATAACTGGGATCCCAGCAAGTTCTCTAGCCTCCTTCCTGGTGGATGAGGAAATGGAGGGGTCAACATGTGCACCCTGGAAGCAGCTCTCACTGAAACCAGACATCTGGCACCCTCATCCCAGGCTCCTAGCCTCCAGAACTGTGAGGAGCACATGTCTGTTGTCTATAAGCCACCTAGGCTGAGGTATTTTGCTACAGCTACGCAAGTGGACTAAACTACCCAAGTGGACTACCCAAGTGGACCTACGTATAAATCCCGGGTATAAAATTTCAAGCAAAAAAAAAAAAATACAAGATAAAATCCTGTTACCTTGAGCTAAGAAAATATTTTCTAGGTACAATGCCCAAAGCATAGTCCATGAAGGAAAACACTAATTTGAATTACATTTCCTCAACATTTACCACTTCTGCTCTTCAGAAGACACTATTAAGAGGATAAGAAGCCACAAATTGGGAGAAAATATTTTCAAGTCACGTATTGACAGAGAGAACTTCTGTAAATAGTCTGAAACCTACAAAATGTTAAAGAAAATATAGAATAACCACTGTCTTTTGCTACTGTAATTTGCTTTGCTTTGCTTTTTTAACAAAATACCCAAGATTTCACCATTAAAGCTTAAAGGCACGTAGCCCCAATTTAAGATTAACAGATGCTGGAGGTGCTTAGCCACATCCCAGGATGAAACCAAGATGCTCAAGCTAAGATAGTAATCCCTAAGCCCTAAAACGTTCTGTAAGCCATATGACTATAAAGGAGTTAAGATGAAAGGAATGTCACCAGTCCTGCTTTCCTAACCCTGACCCCCACTCTTGTGGGCTGGAAGAGCTAAAGATAAACATCCTGAAAGAAAATGCTACATTTGGGTTAACATTGAACTGTCTTGTGACCATGATTTGTGATGGGAACTGTGGGAACTAAAATATCTTATTACCTAAAATGAGGTCATCATTGTAAAACTCCTATAAAAGGCAGATTGTAACCCAATCCAGATTTGGTGCAGGCTGACTGCTTGTTAGCAAAATAAAAGTGTTTTTTGGTTTTTCGTTTTGTTTTTTTTTTCCACTTCTGTGTCTCTGTGTGTCATTTACCAGTCCCTTCTGCAACAATATCAGATAAAAGACACATCTAGAATATAAGAAGAAATCTAAAACTTACATGATAACTGAAGGATTCACTTAACTTTAAAAGTAGTTGTAACATTCAGACACCTCATCAAAGACATAGAGATGGCAAATGAGCACATGAAAGGACACCCAACATAATTAGTAGGAAAACAAGATTTAAAAACGCAGTAAGCTACACACTTATCACAATGGGTCGTGTGTCAAAGACACATGGTGCCCAGTTCTGTCAAGGATGTGGAGCCACCAGGATCTAGGATACTGATCCCAAGGGCACAGGAAGGTTTGGAAACTGACAGCCTTGATTCTGATGATGGTTTCACACACACACACACACACACACACACACACACACACACACACACACACACACACACATATGTCAAAACACACGCAAGTGCACACCCTGGAGTGTGTATTGTTCTGCATCTCAATTTTACTTTAAGAAACCTGTTAAAGCAAAACACTTCCTTCTTGAATCACTTCCTGTGTCCACGTGTCTGATAACCTCAGAGTGTAGACATGGCTGCTGGGGCTCGCCTGGGTCTAGCTAGACATTTGTGGTAGAAGGCAGGGCTGCTGCTCAGCCCTCCTGGGGGTCCTAGCACCCATTCCCTAACTGTGGAGAGCCCCAAGAATTGCCTGATATAGTCTCTCTGGTGTTAGAACACAGCCCAGTGACTGGCCAGGTCCAGATGAGCAGCAGAGGGCCAGGGTTTCCACAAGACTGGCAGCTGCTCACTGGTGACCCCCTGGAGATGGGTTTCCTCCTCCGATTCCTGCAGAACCCTCCCTTTCTGCAGGACAGAAGGCCTCTGTCTAGCAGACTGCCCCAGGAGCCCAGCCCAGATACATAGCTCAGCTCCCACTTGGCCTGTTCATGGCTTTTGCTGTACCTGATAACCAGCTTGTGGCTGTGGAGACATGCATCTTCCACTGTCACTACAGGCCCTGTACAAGACCTGGCATGGAGAGGGGGACAGAACCTAACCATTGAGTACAGAGCTGCCCCAGCCTGGGGTGTGGTGGTGGTGGAGGGGGCACACTTTTGGTTCCTGGGACCATGCTGTATGCTGACTGGGCAGGAGCAGTGGGAGATGAGCAGTGGGAGACGTGTGTGACTGGACAGGACAGAGTCCTGAGGCAGGCAAGTTCCTTGCCTGCCTAGCTGAGGAAAAAGGAGCAGGAGCACCTGAGGCTGCAGGCAGTCTGTGGGCTCTGCAAAGCTGATTCGTGAAAGCTGGACACAACTCACAGAACTGCAAGAGACCCAGGGCTGGGGTTTTCCCAAGGTCATAGCAAGTCTGTGTTGCAGCCAGGGTGGAACCAAACCTGGATTCCAGCTCCTGCCTTGGCCCTGCCCCAAGCAGGGCTTGACAGCTCCCAGCCCCCTGCCCCTAGCCCAGAGAGAGAGGATGGTCAGAGCAAGTGGTCACCATAACATCGATGACAGGGGATGGGTCCAGTGAAGGCCAATTGCTGGGTAGCTCCTCTGTAGGGGGCAGAACATACACACTTCGCAGGCAGACTTCTAGGACCTTGGACTTGACCCAGGGCTGGAGGCTGGGCCGCAGATTGCTACAAGAAACCAGGGAAGACTCCTTTACACAGTCAGGGCTCATAAGGAGACCTGACTGGGAGCCCCTACAAACCCGGCGGGCACAATTTAGTGAGGGAGAGATCTGCATGCAAGCCTGTCTCAGACTTCAGGGGGGCTGGGGCTGGGGGGAGTGGAGCATATTTGGACCAGAAAGAGCCCATGGCAACAGGGACTGCAGCCAAGGCAACTCCATGGCTTCATTCTGTTGGGTTCTTTGGCACTTGTGAGAAATTTGGAGATTATTCTTTTGTCAAGACAAGGCTCTGAGAGCCACCATGGGACAAAGGTCAGTACTTAACCTATGGCCAGTCTCAAGGCTTGAGGGGCAACAAGGTCAAGGCTTTTTGTATGACCAGAGTTAGGGTTCAGTGAGTGACCATGAGTGGTCTCAGATGCACCTTGGGTTAGCATTATAAACATATCTTAGTCATGAGATAAAGCAAACCTAAACTCCCATGTGTGATATGCCCCAGCCTCAGCCCACCCAGCACTGTTTAGCAGTGCCATCCCTGTCCCTCATCCTTGGCACACTGAGCCCCCCCCCCGCATCCTCATAGGGCCTGGCCTGTCTTCATCCTGGACCCCAGGGAAGTTACCTCAGCCCCACAATGACCAAGATGATCTTCTGCCGGAAGAGAGTGGCTAAGAAGTTGGGCTCCTGGAGGATACACTGCGAGGGCAGAAAAAGAGCCCAGGTGTCAGTATCGTCTGGCCCAGCCACTGAGTTTCCTCACCCTCTGAGGGATCCCTGAGTGCCCACAGGGCAGGACACCTAGCGTGTTACTCACCAGGAGACACTGAATGAACTCTGGTATCTGGGTGTACTTGTACTTCTGGACGCCATAGTCATACCTGAGAACTCTGGTGAGCAGGACAGCAGCCGAAAGGAAACTGGCTTTGAGAACATCATCCTACAGTACACAAGTGCCTGGGTCAGAGGACAGGTGACAGAAATTATGCCACACTGCCAATCTTGGCCAGGGTACCAGAGAATGCAGGTGCACACACAGGTCTACACATCACTTGTACACACACACACACACACACACACACACACAAGCACAGCACATCCACATCCACACTCACTTAACTACACAGCATGCACATGCACACACACACACACACACACATCCTCGCATCACTGTCACACTCATATCCATACAGCACAGCCTCATCCTTCTCACACTCACATACCCACCCAGTGCACAATCACACACACATACCCTCACAGCACATCCTCACACACAGCCACAGAGCATACATAGAACACGATTTAGACACTGCACGTCTACATACACACAGCGCATATATGCCGCACATGCAACACAGTAACATATACACCCCTCCCCCGGCAAACCCAGGTGGCTCTGGCTGTCCAGGGTGATGAGACCCAGCCCCTTCGTAGTATATTCTGGGTTGCTGGAGTCCCCAGATGGATCCTTCAGAGATGTAAAAGACACACAGCCTCCTCTGCCTGCCTCATTGCCTGGTCCAGTACAGGGACAAACAAGGGGAACTGAGGGACCCTGCTCTCCCACCCTCCCCGGACAGACTGGGGCTCACACAGTGGCTGCAGGAGAAGTAGTGCACCATCCGAGAGGTGATGCTGTCTACCCAGGGCAGGATTTGTTCCTTGGCATGTGTGGCCATCTGTCCGTAGCACAGCAATGCAGTGCTGTTGACCCATTTCCAGTGCAGATCTGTGTCTGGGTGCTGCAAGTGAATGAGTGGCAGGGGCTGCTAGGTGTCAGCCCCAGCCCACCCCAGGCCCTCTCAGCTCACACCAGTCTCCTGATCGGGGAAGCTGAGCCCGTGGCACAGGTCCAAGGTGGTAGCCAGCTGTGTTCACACCCCGCAGGAACCAGGTCCCAGGCCTGGCGCTAGCCCTCTCTTTCAGAAAGACCCTCCAGACAGCACCCTCACGCAGGCAGGTCTTCTGTTGCCTACTCCTCCCATCAAGGCTACTGGGGCAGGGAGTGGCTAGGAAAATAAAGTTGCTCGACCTACTCTCCTGGGCTAGGTGCACAGAGAAGAAACTGAGGCCTGGGCTGCATATAGCATCTGCAGCCCCCATGGCCTCAGATCCTGCACCCAAGAGCAGCTCTGAATTCTGCTCATGGGGTTCCAGAACAGAGAAGTACAGAGAAGGTCTTCATCCAGCCTTGTCCCATATACCAGCCCTCCGGGATCCTCTTGTTACCATCAGGCACCAAGGCCGAGGCCCTCCCCATCCTGCACTGCCCTTGCAGAATGGCCACCAGGGGCCTATCTACCTGTCCTTCAGGGGACAGTTTTCTCCACCTCAAGAACCAGGTGCTGCCCATGTGTTCCAGCAGGGTCCACACCTCCTCCAGGTGCATAGTGGATGTCAGGCCCACAGCCAGTGCGATGTCCTGTGGGGTGGGGTACCAAGGATCAGGCCCCCAGGAGACAGAACTGGATGTTTCTGGTCCCCTGAGGATCCACTCCTCCCATTGAGAACACTTTCTTCTGGGTGGGGCCTGTCAGCACCCTGACAGTGCTCCTTGCTTTGAGCAGAGGAAACGGGAGTGAGGGCCAAGGGACAAGGCTGGCAGGATTGAGAGAGCCAGTTGAGGTCCCAACGCACCTCCCGCTGGCTGGAGTCCTGATGGGACAGCTCCAGAAGACGGGCGAGGTGGCTCTTCACCAGTGCCACACTAGTGCACTCACGAAGGATCAGCCCAAAGAGGCGGAAGAGGAGGGTCTGGGCAGCAGGAGGGGAGGATGAAGCACTGAGCCAGTGGCCAGCTGGGGCTGTGCCCACCCCAGGCCTGGGGTTTGTCTGTATGCAGGGCCCTGTGGGGAGAAGCTGGTGGCCCAAGGATGTGTCACACTGGTGTCCTTGTGCAGTGCTCTGAGGGGAGGGGCTGAGCACCCCGAGGGTTGCTCTGGGTGTACTGACTACTGCAGGTGATGCCCGAACGCTGTGCTGACTATGGTACCACCCGCCAGTTCTGGGCCCTTCAAGGCACACTCTGCGCTCCCTGCCCGCTCCTAGGCTGGGCTATGCTCAAGAGTGGTGGGGATAACCTGCTTTGCTGTGGGCCAGGGGACTGATCATGAAGTCCCCTGAGCCTCTCAGCTCTTCCTGTGGACTTGGGCTGGGTCTTGTCCCCTCCAGCCCTCTTGGGAGGCTCTGAGTGGCCCTGACCTGGCACTAACCTTCTTCTTGACCTGCTCCGGTGCCAGGCTCAGGGACTCCAGGAGCTTCTGCATGCTGATGTCTGTGTCCATAGCATTCTCCTGCCCGAGGTGCTGTGGCAGAGCTCAGTGCTCAGACCCTCACCTCCTGCCCCACCAGTAAGGGGCATAGCCCAGTGCAGACAGGACTGAGATCCTGCTGGGTGGGGAAGGGGTGAGGGACAAAGCCCTACAGCAGCCAGGATCACTCAAACTGGGCTGCTGGGGCAGTTTGGCCCATATGCTGATGTAGAGGACTCTACACGCTCACTGTGCCAAATGTGCCATAGGTTTGCCACCACCGTGTTGGAATAATTTTAAAATCAATGACATCCTTTCCACCTCTCAGGATGTTATTTCTTAGCTAGTGTCACAAATGAGACGTCAGCCATTCTGCTGAGCCAGATGCTTCGAGTTATGAGGCCCCAGCAGATCCCTACCCTTTGGGCAGAGGCTGAGTACCTTAATGTGGCCAGGGAGTTGACATTTGGGAGCATTCCTGCCCTTCATGTTGCTGCTATGCTAGCCCCTGGGCCTTTTCATGACCAGTTCCCTCTGACTGAACACTTTTCCCTAACCCCCAATCTGAGCCCAGCTGTGTATGCTTGTAGTAGGGCCTCTGTAAGCACACAGGCCCTGCTGTGTATCCTCTGTTAGCCCTCAGAGTTCAAAGAATCTGTCACTCACAGTGGCCCTAGGAAGTGACTGCAGGCTCCAGAAGCTAGAGATAAAGACTGGAGCAGACATTGAGGAGAGGGGCCAGGACAGCCCTGCCCACCTCAGGATCTGCATGAGCTCTGGTGGCATTCAGGCCTTGAAGCTGGTCTAAAGGGTCCCCCAATATTCACGGTGGGCTGGGGTCCTATCACTCCCACCCTATGCCCAAAGCCGGTTTGAGACCACAGCAGGCCCAAGGGGTGGGGGCTTCAGGAACACAGATCAGTAGGGGTGTCTGGGTCTGCATGGGGTGGAGGGGACTAGACCCCAGGCCTTGGGTGTCTGCCCCATCACCTGCTGATGTGGAGTAGACACATGTGCCCTGAGTTCCTTGTACCTTCTGATACTTCCTGGTGAAAGGTCAGGAATTCCAATGGTATGAAGGTCTCGGGAGGTTAGTGGTGGTTGATGGTGATGCCAGTCATGCAGTGAGCCCTGGAGGGGATTCAGACTTCCCCCAGGCCCCAAGACTCTGCAGGAGTCCACAGAGGGCTTTGGCCAGCAAGGAGACACTCTAGGGCCTTACCTGGCTGTACCCTTCCAGGTAGTGACAAATGATGCCCAATGCCAGGTCCTGCTCTGTGGCTGACATGGCCCTGATCCTGCTGACTAGCTGTCTCTCCAGGGGTGAGGGGTCACTGACGCACTGTCTCACACCTCCCAGGAGCCCAGAGTCTGAGCAGTCTGCAGAAAGCCCAGAGCAGAGGGATAGCATGAGAGCCACCAGTGATCTCAGGCCCCATAACTGTCATGGCACGTGTGCCTGCAGGGTCCCTGTTGGATGTGCAGTAAATGCTTTCTTTAAAATGCATTTGGAGGAAATGGAAAGCACAGCACATATAGGGCAGACATGTTTCAAAGCCCTGCCAACCAACCCAGAGCAGGGCCAGTGTATAGCTGAACAACCTGGAGACAGAGCTGAGACCCAGGCCACACATACCACAACTCAAAACTTCAGACCCTCTAAGAAAATGTGGATGAAGCTGGGCGTGGTGGTACACGCCTGCAATCCCAGCTCTCGGGAGGCTGAGGCAGGAGGATCGCTGTGAGTTCAAGACCAGCCTGGGCTACATAGTGAGTTCCATGTCAGTCTCAACTACATAGTGAGACCCTGTCTCAAAAAACCAAAAAAAAAAAA